CCCCCCCCCCCCCCATTTTGCATGTGGGGGAGGGGAGGGGGAAGCCCCTTGTCTTAGAACTGAATGCAACATGGCAGGGGACAAGCAGTTACTCTGGATCCAGCTTTGGTCCTGACCCTGAGTTTGGGCTGGAGCTGCAGCTGCTGCCTGCCCCCTGCTTTCCTCCCCCCTACCTCTGTATCCCCTACCCCTTGTCACTGTAGCCTCAAGCTCCTCCTCCCCTCCCCTCCACCTTTGGCATGTTCTGTCCTGCTCCAGCCTGTGGTATAGAGCATGGCCCCCGCCTGGCCCTATAACTTAAACAGAATCTAATTATTGGGGGTCATCTTAAATTCTGGATCATTGTGGATTCAGATATACAAGGTATATTACCAAGAACTGAATGTAGGATGTTACCTTTTATGTCTCTGTTTACTTCAGATATATGAAACAGTAGGGCTCAGCAGTCCTAACGTAGTAGCAGAAGTGTTTATACCCATTCCTGAGACTACAGTTCTCACTGGTAGAGCTCCTGTAGAGGAAATCGAGTTTAGCAGCAACCAGCGTGTGATGTTGGACCATGAAGGAGTCGGGAGTGGTATGAGTTATTACTTACTCTGAGTAATTCATTATTAGACTGTTTTGTCCTAAGATTCAAACCACCACATTACTTTTTAACCAAGTACATAAAATACATTGCTTTCTGTTAAGGATGTTCCCCTTATCTCTGGCATAGAACTTCTGAAAATCAATTATGTAAAACAGCCCCAGTTCACACTATTAGCTAAGTATGTAATGGGATATTTCTTCCACGTACTTTTTTTAAAGTACTTCTAGTTTTTCTGTAATAAAATACATTTTTATTACATTGTTTAAAATTTCAGAGGAGCTCTTTTTAGTCTAGTTACTTTTCAGTATTTAAAAATATGGCCCTCTCAAAAGCTTTGACTATAGGAAGTAAACAGATGGTATTAATCAGTGTAGCTCCACTGATTTTAATGAATTGCAGCAGCTGATGTTATGGCCCTGTAAATATATTCGTGTACTAGTTGTTTTGCTTACATATTCTAAAACACTTTTTTTCTTACTGGTCTTGACTTTTAACAACATTAAATTTTAATAGCTTCTTTCTTGGTTGGCTTATAGAGTCCCAGCACTTCGGGCTCCATCATCATTATTATTATTATTTATTGGTTTAATAAAAGTTTATGTAGTATTGTGAATTTCTGTGATGCTTTAAAGATTCTTCAGAGATTAACAAAAAGTACTGCCCCAAGGAGTTTACAATCTTAAATCAAATAAAGTAAGAACGTGAAGATAAACAAAAAAATAGTAGTACAAAAAGCTGAACAAGGTAAAAAAAAAAGTTGTAAAATGAGTGACTCATGTAAATTGCAGTAACTAAGGTAGGGCAAAAGAGTAGGAGCCATCCACATAGAAAGAAAAAGCAATTCAACACAAAATGAAAGAAGTGAGTGTTGAAGAGACGGGAGTGGGAGGACAAGAGGTCACTGTAAAACTTGGATGTATGGAAATATGCACATCATGGTTCTGTCAGGATGGACTTCTTAAGCTTTCCTTCCTTTTTCATTACTCCTTAGGGGAAAAAAAAGCATTTGTGCTGATGGATGAAGAAATTAAGAATTAGGAAAATAATTATTTCTTTAACAGCATTATTGGTAGTGATTGGTGTTAACATATGCATTCTTTTCACAAATACTAAATTAATGTTTAATACCAGTAGTAATTACTGTCCTGAAACATAAAGGAGAGATCATCATATGTTCTTTGTGTTCTTCTTGTAGGTGTGCCATTCTCATTTGAAGCTGATGGTAGTAATAAAATTACTCTAATGACCTCTGGCAAAGTGTCCAATAGCATTTCCTGGGCTGTTGGAGAAAATGGCATACCTTTAATTCCTCCAGTATCTCAGCAGAATGCGGGAATTCCAAGGTAATATTGAGCAATGAGTTGTTGAGAGACCTTATAGATTTGTATTTTGGTGCTTAAAAGTATTGAGGAAAGAACAAGTGGCTTTTATATTCAAGTAATACCATATTTACTCAGATCTAGGACAACTTTGAATTTAAGACAACCCCCTTATAAGGAGATTATATACATAGAAAACTGATACATTTATTATAATTTTCCATATGTAGAATCTAATTATAGGAGGCCCTCTTTAGTCCATGCTTCCCACTGCTGCAGGAGGGCGGGCAATGGGGATGCAGGTGTTGTAGGGAGGTCAGCAGCTTACCCCCTGCTTGTGCCTGCTCTCTGCCTACCCCCTTACCCCCCCAGCCTCAAGTCACCCCTTTCTCCCAGCTTCTGTCTCTCCCTCCCCTCTAGCTTTTGCTCCATGCTGGCAGACTTCATCCCTGTTCTAGCTTGGGGAACTGACCACAGCCCCAGCCTAGCCCCTCATAGAAGCCATATGGGCTACATGCTGCTCATGCAGAGCTGGGCTTGGGCTTTGCTCAGTGCCCCAGGTTGCAGCATTCACAGAGCCTTCTGGCCCAGAGCAGGGAGAGGGGCAGACAGGGAAGCAGAGACTGTGTGTGGGGCGGGAGATAATGGAGAAGAAGATGCAGGGTGGGAGATAGCAGGGTGCAGAGACAGCAAAGGGAGGCAGGTAGGCAGTAGCTGCAGCTATGGCCCTGACCCCAGGTAGGGGCTTAAGCTGGAACCACAACAGCTGGCTGCCCCCCCTCCACCGCCCTCAGATGTGAATCTAAGGCAAGGGTTTTTTCCCCCCCATGTTAAATGGGGGGGACCTTGTCTTAAACAGTGAGGGGCCTACTTTTTTTCTTTTGCTTTTCTTGTGGAGGCTGCCTCAGCTCAGAGCCAGCACCTGGCTTGCCAGTACCCTGCCCTGGTAACTCCAGGGGGCACCGCTGCCATGGAGGGAAGGACCAGGTCCCCTGTAGCTCAGCAGCTGCTTAGTTTGGCAGCAGCTTGCTCTCTGGCCATGGGCAGGCTGTAATGAGGTAGGAAGCGGAACTGTTTCAGTTTAGGAAAACTAAACCCCCATCATGTGAACAAGCGGCCCTGGTTTGAGTTTAGAAGATCCTGAGTGGTGGAATGGAAGGGTTAGAGATTCCTTTACATAATCTCTTTCCCTCCTGGACTCTTCTGCAGCAGTGTTCTTAGTACAATGAACAGAGTGCTTGAAAAGTGCTGTACTGACTGAAGTCCTGTTTGTCTACACTTTTATTGTGGATACTACAAGTGTAAGTGGCTTCCCTGTATTGGGACCACTGCTATTTAACATATTTGTAAATGATCTGGAAAAAGGGGTGAGTAGTGAGCTGGCCAGATTTGAAGATGACATAAAATTATTCAAACTGGTAAAGACCAAGGTGGACTGTGAGGAACTATAGAAGGATCTGGCACTAGTGAGTAAATGGGCAACTAAATGACAAATGAAATTAATTGTAGGTAAGGGTCAAGTGAAGCACATGGGCACAAATATCCTGAACTGTACCTACACTGTGACAGGCTCTACATTAGTTGTTACCACACAGGAAAAAGATTAAGAAGGGAATTATAAACAGAGTAGAAAGTATCATGCCTTTTTATAAATGCCTCTTTATGCATCCACCCCTGATTAGTAGTATAGAGAGGCTTTTATAAGAGGAGAGACTAAAGAGGCTAGGTTTGTTCATTTTAGAAGGAGATGCTTGGGGAGGCATGATAGGGGCTTACAAAATACTAAATGGTGAAAAGAAAGTAAATAGGGATTTATTGTTTACTATTATAGAATTATAGAGAAGTAGGGCTGGAAGGGACCTCCAGAGGTCATCTAGTCCACCATCCTGCCCAAACTATCTCATACTAAGAGGTTAATTCATGGATTTGTAAAACTACATAGTCAACCCTGACACAACACAAGACATAACACCCTAACCTTGCACTGGGAAAGCAGGGGATCACGGTGGATGGCATCCTGCTTCTGTAAAGGTTATTAATACACTCAGGAGATCCCAGGAAAAAGGGCCATGCCCCGCAATACAGAGGCAGACAAAAACCCTCACAGTTCATACCAATCTGACCATGGGGTAAAATTCTTTCCTGACCCCAAATTGGTTATTGGTCTGACCCTGAGTGGAGAGGCAAGACCCTCTAGTGAGGAGCCTCTGGTTTTGAGTCCCAGCAGGAGCACTGGCGCACCCCAGTCAAAATCCCCAGCTTTGGCTTTAGCCAACACCCAATGTCTTTGACAAAGGCTTAAGAAAAATACCTGACACTTGTAGCAGCATGTGGCAGGGTACCTTTATCCAGGTGCCAAATACAACAACTTAGGGGTCATAAAATGACACTGATAGGTAGTAAGTTGAAACTAACCCACATTCTTTTTCATACCACATGTAATTAAAATGTAGATCTTATTGCCACTAGATGTGGAAGCTGACAGTTTAGCCAGATTCATAAAGGCCCCATTGGGTAAATTCTTGGAGGAAAAGAGCATAAGTATCTATTGAGCAAGGGAGTTAGGGGTACAGCCTCTGAATCAGGACTTTCTACACCAGTGGTGCCAAACTTTTTCACCCCATGGGCCAAAATGGGTGGTGCAAAGTCTATCTGCAGGCTGGTCTGGCCCCCTGGTACATGGGCTGGGCACAGTGGGGCCTGATCTGACTGCATGTAGGGAGGGTGTGTGGCTCTGGCCCTGGCCCAGCCCAGACATGCGGGAAAAGGAGGCCATGCAGGGAAGAGGGGCTGTAGCCCAGGCCTGATCTGGCTGTGCAGCAGAGAGGGGAAGTGGCCTGGCCATGACCTGGCCATGCAGGACTTAGAAATGTTGCAGTGGGGGCAGGGTGACTGTATTAATTACCTCTCTTCCCCCACCTCCACCCAATATCTTGACCTCTGAAGAGCCCCACGGGGCAGATGCCATGACTACTGGCCAGATATGGCCTATGGGCCAGGGGTAGAGCACCCCTGTCCTAGACCTCAAATGCTGGAGGCTGCAAGTGAAAGAGGAACAGGAAAAACACCTAGTCATACCCAGTTAACTCTTTTTTTCAGCATCCTCTTTCTGCCACTGTGAGACACAGGATACTGGGCAAGATAGACTTATGGTCTGACCCAGTAAATGGCAGTTCTTAGGTTTCCATTGCTGCCCTGCATGGGTGCCCCAAACCTGGCTGGCAGAGACTACTACTAGTAATGAGGTGATATTGTTATGTAGCTGTCTAGTCAGTGGTTGGTCACTGCTGAGACTTCCATTTAATTTTGGCCTATCATAACTTTTTTTGAGTATATAAGCCAACAGGGGAGTCGAGATACTATATTGCTCTTTCAAATGGTGTCATCCTGAATGCTGTGGATATTGGTCTTGATTCTGATGCCAAAGAATACCAGACCCTGTTTTTACCTTAATGCCTTCTGTGTAGAATGATGATTCCTATACAGATGTGTAACTTCTGATAGTGCTAGAAGGAACTCCTTAAATAGATCTTCTGTGCAACAGTAAAAACTTACCATTCCAGAAATAAAATGTATTCAATTTAAAAGCTTAATTACAAACATATTAAAATTAAAATCTTTACATAGTATGGTACAGTTATAAGGGGAGCAGGACTTTGCACACAGTAGTCTCCTTGGTACATAGTTGTGGGATTTTTAAAGCAGTTTTCCTCATTTACTTAAGCACTTACCTTACTCCAGGCAAACATAAACTCATTTAAAAATTTGATACAAGACGCTATGGCTATGAGAGAGCAGGGCCCCATGAATAATAACCACATCAGTATATAGTTGTTAGATTGCAAAGCATTCTTAATCATTGACTTCAGCATGCAGTCTAAATTTGCTCAGGATAAAAAGCTGTCAGTAGTATATGTGGTAAAGTCTACAGTGTAAGGGGGACTGTCTCTTTGGGCATAGTTACACGTTCATTTTAGGCAGTTCAGGAAGCTGTTACCACTGGGATTGTCCACACTTTAAGATGTGAAACTAGTTTTAAGCACTCCTGAGACATCTTAAAGTTATTCTACTCCAGGGTAGGTTTACCTGTGTGATCTGTTACCCTGCTTGCGTTAGACTAACATGTGGCCACTCTAGGCTACACTCCTCCAGTCACCCCCTCACTTCCCCTGCCAGCTTCGATTGGGCCTGTCATCCCCCACTACTGTCCTGGATTGGGCCCACTGCCCCCCCCATCCCTTCGCTGCCCCAGATTGGGCCTGTTGCCTCCCCCCAGCACCTCAGATCAGGGCCACTGTCCCCCAGCACCTCAGGTCCCTGCTGAACCCCCACTACTGTCACCCCACTACTACCTGGCTGCTGATGCTGTTCTGGGGGACAGGCTGAGAAGGGGAACTGACATGCCCAGCAGCTGCAGCTGCTGCCACTCTCTGGGCTGGGTTAAGCTGGGAGAACAGCTACAGCTCAGCAATGGTAGTGGTCAGACAGGCAGATTCCCCTTTCTTGTTTGATCCTCTGGGACAGTGCTGGCAGCCACAAGTGACCCAGGGGACATGGGGGGCAGAGGTGAACCACTAGGGCCAGGAGGTAGGTAGGGACCCTGAGAGCCATGGGGGGGAGCCCCAGGGATGGGGGTGGAAGACAAGGGGGTGCCCTGAGTGGCAGGAGGAAAGTCCTGGTGGGGGGAGATACAGGGAATGGGAGGAGAGGGGTGAGTATTCTTACCTTTCAGTCCTCCAGGCCCCTGCTTGTCAGGGGCAGGTTGCATTTGACTTCCTAAGAGAACTGATGGGCAGGTTCCCCTGGGAGGTCAGTCTGAGGGGGAAAGGATGCCAGGAGAGATGGCTGTATTTTAAAGAAACTTTAGTGAGGGTGCACATGAACAAACTATCCCAATGTGCAGGAAAAATAGCAAATATAGCAGGCGAGCAGCTTGGCTTAGCAGAAAACTCTTCGGTGAGCTAGCTTAAATTAAAAAAAAAAAAAGGAAGCTTACAGGAAGTGGAAGCTTTGACTGATGACTAGAGAGGAATATAAGAATATTGCTCAGGCAAGCAGGGATGAAATCAGGAAGGCTCAATTGGAGTTGCAGCTAGCAAGGGATGCAAAGAGTAACAAGAAGGGTTTCTATGAGTATGTTAGCACCAAGAGGGAGGTCAGGAAAAGTGTGAGTCCCTGACTGAATGGAGGAGGCAACCTAGTGACAGATGATGTGGAAAAGGCTGAAGTGCTCAATACCATTTTTTACCTTGGTTTTCACAGGCAAGGTCAGTTCCCAGACTACTGCACCAGGCAGGACAGTTTGGGGAGAAGGTGAGCAGCCCTCAGTGCTGAAAGAAAAAGTTAGGGACTATTTAAGAAAGGTGGATGTGTACAAGTCCATGGGGCCGGATGCTATGCATCCAAGGGTGCTGAGGAGGTTGGTTGATGTAACTGCAGAACCACTGGGCATTATCTTTGAAAACTCATGGGGGAAGCCCCAGACAGTTGAAAAGGGGTAAATATAGTATTCATCTTTAAGAAAGGGAAGAAGGAGGATCCAGACCAGTCAGCCTCCCTCAGTCCCTAGAAAAATCATGGAGCAGGTCCTCAAAAAATCAATTTCTAAGCATTTGGAGGAGAAGAAAGTGATCAGGAACAATCAGCATAGATTCACCAAGGGCAACTCATGACTAACCAACCTGATTGCCTTCTTTTATGAAGAACTGGCTGTCTGAATGTGGGGAAAGCAGTGTGATATACCTTGACTTTCGCAAGGTTCTTGATACCATTTCCCACAGCTTTCTTGCAAGCAAGCTGGGCAAGTATGGGTTGGATGAATGGAGCGTAAGGTGGATAGAAAGCTGGCTGGCTCAACGGGCAGCAGTCAATGACTCAGCGTCTAGTTGGCAGTCAGTATCAAGCTGGTATTGGTTCTGGAGCCAGTTTCGTTCAATATAGTTTCATAGTTAGTAGGGTCGGAAGGGACCTGAGCAGATCATCAAGTTCGACCCCCTACCATGGCAGGAAAGAGTGTACATCTAGCTGCCTCTTAAAGACCCCCAGGGTAGGAGCCAGCACCACTTCCCTTGGAAGTTGGTTCCAGGTCCTAGCTGCCCTGACCGTGAAGTAGCGCCTCCTGATATGTAGCCTAAATCTACCCTCTGCCAGCTTGTAACCATTATTCCTAGTCACTCCTGGTAGTGCTTAGGGGAACAGGGACTCCCCCAGTGCCTGCTGGTCCCCTCTGACTAGTTTGTAACAGGCCACTAGATCCCCCCTCAGCCTTCTCTTTTGGAGGCTGAACAGGTTCAGGTCCCGTAGCCTCTCCTCGTTAATATCTTTATTAACGATCTGGAAAATGGGGTGTATTGCACCCTCAGCAAGTTCATGGATGACACCAAGTTGCAGGGGGTGTAGTAGATATGCTGGTAGATAGGGCTAGGATTCAGAGTGACTTAGACAGATTGGAAGATTGGGCCAAAAGAAATCTCATGAGGTTCAGCAAAGACAGTTGCAAAGTCCTGCACTTAGGACAGAACAATCCCATGCACCACTACAGGCCTGAGACTAACTGGCTAAGCAGCAGCTTTGCAAAAAAAGGACTTGGGTTACAGTGAACAATAAGCTAGATATTAATCAGCAGTGTCCCTCTGTTGTCAAGAAGGCTAACATCTTATTGGGCTGTATTAGTAGGAGCATTGCCAGAAGATCAAGGGAAGTAATTATTCCCCCTCTATTTGGCACTGGTGAGGCCACATCTGGAGTGCTGCAGGAGAGAGGAGTTTTGCCTGTCCCACTCTATGTCCAGTTTTGCCTCCTTCCCTCCCAGAAAGGATGTGGACAAAATGGAGAGAGTCCAGTGGCGGGCAAAGAAAATGGTTTGGGGGCTGGAGTGCATAACCTATGAGAAGAGGCTGAGAGAACTGGGCTTATTTAGTCTGCAGAAGAGAAGACTAAGGGGGGATTTGATAGCAGCCTTTAACTACCTGAAGGGTTATTCCAAAGAGGATGGAGCTAGGTTGTTCTCATTGGTGGCAGATAAAACACAGAACAGTGGTCTCAGGTTGCAGCAAGGGAGATTTAGGTTGGATGTTAGGTAAAACTTTTTCACTCAAGGGGTGGTGAAACACTGGAACACAGGTTACCTAGAGAGGTGGTGGACTGTCCATTCTTGGAGTTTCTTAAGATCTGGCTTGACAAAGCCCTGGCTGGAATGATATAGTTGGGGATGGTCCTGCTTTGAGCAGGGGGTTGGGCTAGATGACCTTCTGAGGTCCCTTCCAACCCTAATTTTCTATGATTCTAGGTCTAGAACAGTCAGAGAACATGTGACTTCTGTAAAATCAAGCTAACTAACACTGATTACCACTTTGAGGAGCCTAGGTGTGATGTGTAACAAGGCCCTTTCAGTACTAAATGCTGTCATATACCAGTGGTCTGGAAATTCAGATGCCTAATACATTTTGTAACAAAACAAATGTAGCCTTGTCTTAGCTGTTAATTTTCCTGTCTGCTTCTAAACAAAACAACCTTTCTACCCTCAGATATTATATGTAGGCTTGGCAGAACTCATAGAATCATAGAGAATTAGGGTTGGAAGGGACCTTAGGAGGTCATCTAGTCCAGCCCCCTGCTCAAAGTAGGACCATCCCCAGTTACATCATCCCAGTCAAAGCTTTGTCTCTCTGGGTCTTGAAAACCTCCAAGGATGGAGCTTCCACCACCTCTCTGAGTAACATGTTCCAGTGTTTTACTACCCTCTTAGTGAGAAAATTCTTCCTAATATATTATTTGACTTTCCTTACTGCAACTTCAGACCATTGCTCCTTCTTCTGTCATCTGTCACCACTGAGAACAATTTAGCTTCATCCTCTTTCAACACCTCCCTTCAGGTAGTTGAAGGCTGCTATTAAATCCCCTCTCAGTCTTCCCTTCTCTAGACTAAATAAGCCCAGTTCCCTCAGTTTTTCCTCAAGTCATGTGCCCCAGACCTCTAATCATTTCCGTTGCTCTCTGCTGGACTCTCTCCAATTTGTCCACATCCTTCTGTAGTGGAGGCCCCAAAAGTGGACACCTGATGTACCCCAGATGTTATGTCATCAGTGCTGAATACAGGGGAATAATCGCTTCCCTTGACCTGCTGGCAGCACACCTATCCACGCAGCCCAATATGCCCATTAGCCTTGTTGGCAACAAGGGCACGCTACTGGCTCACATCCAGCTTATTGTCCACTGTAAACCCCTTGGTCCTTTCCTGAAGAGCTGCTGCCCAGCCAGTCAACCCCCAGCTTGTACTAGTGCATGGGGTTGTGCAGCAGTTTGCACTTGTCCTTGTTGAACCTCATGAGATTTCTTTTGACCCAATCCTCCAATTCGTCTAGGTCCATTTTTATGGACCTAACAAAAAAATCCATTTTTATTTTTTAATAAGTTTCACAGATTATATCAATATTTATTTTTAATTTATTTGATTTTGATTTTTATCAATTTAAATATTCAGGATTGCATGAAATTAGGGGTGTGGGAAACAGACAATTTATTAATGACAGTATACTTATTATAGTGCAGTTTAACTGTCTGATGTGACAAATGTTAACTGCTGTAGGACTGTCCCCAGCTGAGTGGCAGAGCTGCCATCAGTCCTGGCTCCGCTCACCATAGGTCCCTTGTTTGCTTTGTTACTACTTCTTCCTTTGTACCCAGTCCCCTGAGATTTCTGGAAATTGCAGTCCAAACTACAGTCAGCATGGTTTTGTAGGACTGCTTTTCCTATCATCGCAGATTCCATCAGCCACCATTTTTCTTGCGTCCTCTTTCTATATATGTAGATTATTAACGATGGAATGTTTTTTGTCAGTCTGCGAATGTGAAGTGAAATCAACATTTGTCAACATTTACTGATAAAGATTGAATCCTGCCAAGCCTAACTGTATTATAGAAGTTTATATAAAAATATACCCTGTGTCATGCATAAAAATGCCCCAAACATGCTCACCTTCTAATTACTGGTATGAATTCAAATAGTCTGTTTCAGTGAACTATGGAAATTTATGGGCTGGTGAAATTAACAGTTCAAGTATTTTTTCCAAGATACTGTTTTAAATGTTCATTAGATTGCACTGACCAAAACATGCATCTGTTTCCAAATCAGAATCATTCTGATATCAACTCTCATTTCAGTGCTCTGAAAAATATTGATGCCATTGCATCTATTGGTGCATCAGGTTTAACTGACATGAAGAAACTAGCTAAATGGGCAGCAGAAGCAAAGCTTGATCCAAATGACCCAAGCAATGCAGCTTTGATGCAACTGATTATGGTAAGATGACTTTAATAAACCATTGTCAGGAAATCTGTTATTAGTGAAGTTGTTTGGGACTTTTTAGGAAATAATCCAAAGAATGTTAAATTCTACAATTAATTAATTTCCAGCTATGTTTCTTATATTTAGGGATCCAGGTTTTCCATTTCCCACAGGAAAATGGAGTAAAACACGGGTTTCCCCCCTTACCGAAGTAAAATGTGGATTTCTCATTTTAGTGGAGAAACCCATGCGTTTTGCAGTTTTGCAATGAGCCCTCTGCAGGCTGGTAGAGTTCCAGCCTGCAAGGGACTGGGAGGGACTGGGAGATTCATACATTGTAAAGCTGGAAGGGAACTTGGAAGTTTATTAGGTCCAGCCCCCTGCATCAAGCAGGAAAGACAACTGGGGTCAGGTGACCCCAGCAAGGGGACTGTCCAGTCTCCTCTTGAAGATTTCCAAGGTAGGTGATTGTACCACCTCTGGAGGGATCTTATTCCACAGTCTAAACACCCTAGTTGTGAAGTAGTTTTTCATAACGTTGAGCCTGAAATGGTCTTCCAGGAGTTTCTGACCATTACTCCTAGTTTTCCCCAAGGGTGCCCTGGTGAACAGTTGTTCACCAAGCCCTGGATGTACACCTGTAATATAGCGGTAAACTGCTACCAAGTCCCCTCTCAGCCTTATTTTTTTCAGGCTGAAGTGTCTCAGATCCCTCAGTCTTTCCTCGTATGGCTGGCCGTGCAAGTCTCTGATCATATGGGTGGCCCTTCTCTGGACTCTGTCAAGGTTTACCATGTCCTTGTGAAAGTGTATTGCCCAGAACGGGATGCAGTACTCCAGCTGTGGTCTTACCAGTGCTGAGTAGAGCGGGAGAATCACTTCCTTGGTTTTGCTGGAATACATCAATTGATGCCAGGGTATTGTTAGCCCTGCTGGCTACCGTGTTGCACTGCCGGCTCATGTTCATGCTGTGGTCTGTTATTACCTCCAGGTCCCTTTCATTCATAGTGCTGGTCAGATTGGTATAGTGCTGGGAGGAGGGCAGTCAGGCATGGGGGGTGCCACATGCATGTACATGCACATGTCCGCCAAGCAGCCTGCAGAGCAGCTCCTGCAGGTAAGTGAGGTGGGGGAGGGGGATTGAGGCCCTTGTAGGGAGGGAGGGAGGGAGTTGGGGTAGGGCTGGGGCTGCTGCCCTGCCGGGTGATGCGTGGGGCTTGGGGCCCAGGGCTGCAATGCTAGGCCACAGGGCCCCAGCGGGGAGTGGGATGGTGCTACAGGTGTCTCATCCGGGGGTGGGGAGTTGGGCTGGCTCCCCACTGCTGCGCATACTCCCTGCTGTTGTGCATACTCCCAGTGGGGACCCATACCTCCCCCCCCCCCCCCCCCCCCCCCCCCCC